TGACTTAGCTGACTGACTGACTTTGCTGGCCGAGAGAGGACTGACTTAGCTGACTTTGCTGGCCGAGAGAGGACTGACTTAGCTGACTTAGCTGACTTTGCTGGCCGAGAGAGGACTAACTTAGCTGACTTAGCTGACTTTGCTGGCCGAGAGAGGACTGACTTAGCTGACTTTGCTGGCCGAGAGAGGGCTGACTTAGCTGACTTTGCTGGCCGAGAGAGGACTGACTTAGCTGACTTTGCTGGCCGAGAGAGGGCTGACTTAGCTGACTTTGCTGGCCGAGAGAGGACTGACTTAGCTGAATTTGCCGAGAGAGGACTGACTTTGCTGGCCGAGAGAGGACTGACTTAGCTGACTTTGCTGGCCGAGAGAGGACTGACTTAGCTGAATTTGCCGAGAGAGGACTGACTTTGCTGGCCGAGAGAGGACTGACTTAGCTGACTTTGCCGAGAGAGGACTGACTTAGCTGACTTTGCTGGCCGAGAGAGGACTGACTTAGCTGACTTTGCTGGCCGAGAGAGGACTGACTTAGCTGACTTTGCTGGCCGAGAGAGGACTGACTTAGCTGACTGACTGACTAGGTCGAGCTGACTTTTCTGGCCGAGAGAGGACTGACTTGGCTGACTGACTGACTAAGTTGAGCTGACTTTTCTGGCCGAGAGTGGGCTGACTTAGCTGACTGACTGACTTTGCTGGCCGAGAGAGGACTGACTTAGCTGACTGACTGACTTAGGTGGCCGAGAGAGGACTGACTTGGCTGACTGACTGACTTTGCTGGCCGAGAGAGGACTGACTTAGCTGACTGACTGACTTAGCTGGCCGAGAGAGGACTGACTTGGCTGACTGACTGACTTTGCTGGCCGAGAGAGGACTGACTTAGTTGACTGACTGACTTTGCTGGCCGAGAGAGGACTGACTTAGCTGACTTTGCTGGCCGAGAGAGGACTGACTTAGCTGACTGACTGACTTTGCTGGCCGAGAGAGGACTGACTTAGCTGACTTTGCTGGCCGAGAGAGGACTGACTTAGCTGACTTTGCTGGCCGAGAGAGGACTGACTTAGCTGACTGACTGACTAGGTCGAGCTGACTTTTCTGGCCGAGAGAGGACTGACTTGGCTGACTGACTGACTAAGTTGAGCTGACTTTTCTGGCCGAGAGTGGGCTGACTTAGCTGACTGACTGACTTTGCTGGCCGAGAGAGGACTGACTTAGCTGACTGACTGACTTAGGTGGCCGAGAGAGGACTGACTTGGCTGACTGACTGACTTTGCTGGCCGAGAGAGGACTGACTTAGCTGACTGACTGACTTAGCTGGCCGAGAGAGGACTGACTTGGCTGACTGACTGACTTTGCTGGCCGAGAGAGGACTGACTTAGTTGACTGACTGACTTTGCTGGCCGAGAGAGGACTGACTTAGCTGACTTTGCTGGCCGAGAGAGGACTGACTTAGTTGACTGACTGACTTTGCTGGCCGAGAGAGGACTGACTTGGCTGACTGACTGACTTTGCTGGCCGAGAGAGGACTGACTTAGCTGACTGACTGACTTAGCTGGCCGAGATAGGACTGACTTGGCTGACTGACTGACTTTGCTGGCTGAGAGAGGACTGACTTAGCTGACTGACTGACTTAGCTGGCCGAGAGAGGACTGACTTGGCTGACTGACTGACTTTGCTGGCCGAGAGAGGACTGACTTAGCTGACTGACTGACTTAGCTGGCCGAGAGAGGACTGACTTGGCTGACTGACTGACTAAGTTGAGCTGACTTAGCTGGCCGAAAGAGGGCTGACTTAACTGACTGACTTACTAAGTGAGCTGACTTAGCTGGCCGAAAGAGGGCTGACTCTACTGACTGACTGACTAAGTTTAACTGACTTTGCTGGCCATGAGAGCTGACTTTGCTGGCCGAAAGAGGGTTGACTTAACTGACTGACTGACTAAGTGAGCTGACTTTGTTGGCCAAGAGAACTAGCGGAACTGACTTAACTGACGATACTAAGTTGAGTCGACGGAGCTGACTCTACCGGCCGAGAGAGCTGACTTAATTGATGATTTTAAGTTGACTTTGCTGCTCAAGAGGACTGACTTAACTGACTGACTGACTAAGTTTAGCTGACTTTGCTGGCCGAGAGAGCTGACTTAACTGACTGACTAAGTTTAGCTGACTTTGCTGACCAAGAGAGCTGGCGGAACTTAACTGACTTAACTGACGATGCTAACGTGAACTGACGGAGTTTGCTTATCTGACAAAATACAAAGTTGAGATGACTTAACTCCAATGAACTGACTGAGCTGATCAAAGTGAGCTGATAGAATTGGTTTACCTGACCAAGAGAGATGACCTGAGCTGACGGAGGTGTCAGAAATAACTTACCTGACCACATAAAAAAAAAATGAATTGATCTGACACAACTGCCTTACGCGGCCCTATGACACTGATTTTAGCTGACACCATCAATTTACCCCAATAGAGCTGACGCAGAGACCTACTAACGGAACCAT